ATTTTCATTCTCAAACTTTGTTGGGCTCCATCCAAGGAAGCCATCAGCCATATATGAAGATTCTATACCTTTTAGTTCTTCTTCAGAAGTCGTTGGAAGTTTTTGACATATTTGACCCCTGTGACCTTGAAAGTAGGTCAAACTCATTTTCATTCTTAAACTTTGTTAGGCTCTATCCCAGGAAGCCACCAGCCAAATATAAAGATTCTATACCTTTCAGTTCTTCAGAAGAAGTCGTTTGAAGTGTTTGACATATTTGACCCCTGTGACCTTGAAAGTAAGTCAAGGTCATTTTCATTCTCAAACTTTGTTGGGCTCTATCCCAGGAAGCCATCAGCCAAATCTGAAGATTCTATACCTTTCAGTTCTTCAGAAGAAGTCGTTTGAAGTTTTTGACATATTTGACCCCTGTGACCTTGAAAACAGGTCAAGGTCATTTTCGTTCTCAAACTTTGTAGGGCTCCTACCAACGAAGCTTTCAGCCAAATATCATGACTCTAAGCCTGTCCGTTCTTCAGAAGAGGTTGTTAAAAGGAAAAGTTGACGTACGAGGACGGACGGACGGACGGACGGACGACGGACCGCGCACCATGACATAAGCTCACTTGCCCTTCGGACAGGTGAGCTAATAATGCTAACCCAAATTGAATTACTTCCAATGGAAATTAAACAAATGTTGGTCCAAAATGTGATTTCCCTATATAAACTATAGTAAAGTTAACCCCCTCCCCAGGGGGAAACATGAGACCCCAGGGTCAAGAAATTCACAATTTCAGTAAAGCACCTTAAGACCCTTCCATCTATGAAGAGTATTTGATTCTACCATATCTGGGTCTTGAGAAGAAGATTTTTGAAATTTCAGTCAATTCAACCCTTTTTGGCCCCACCCATCAGCCCCTGGGGGTCAGTCAGGGCTCATAGGTGCATACTATCAAACTGCTACCTAATACTGATAATGCTAACCCAAATTGAATTACTTCCAATGGAAATTAAACAAATGTTGGTCCAAAATGTGATTTCCCTATATAAACTATAGTAAAGTTTACCCCCTCCCCAGGGGGAAACGTGAGACCCCAGGGTCAAGAAATTCACAATTTCGGTAAAGCACCTTAAGACCCTTCCATCTATGAAGAGTATTTGATTCTACCATATCTGGGTCTTGAGAAGAAGATTTTTGAAATTTCAGTCAATTCAACCCTTTTTGGCCCCACCCATCAGCCCCTGGGGGTCAGTCAGGGCTCATAGGTGCATACTATCAAACTGCTACCTAATACTGATAATGCTAACCCAAATTGAATTACTTCCAATGGAAATTAAACAAATGTTGGTCCAAAATGTGATTTCCCTATATAAACTATAGTAAAGTTTAACCCCTCCCCAGGGGGAAACGTGAGACCCCAGGGTCATGGGGTTTTGGAGAAGAAGTCGAAAATGTAAATTGTTTACGGACGCACGACGGACCATGACGGACAAAAGACGATCATAATAGGTCACTTGAGACTTTGTCTCAGGTGACCTAAAAATCTTCAGCAAAAAGGTACTAATGGTAATGTACCTAAAACCGTACACTTAGGAAATCGGTCCATGAAATTGGCATGCAATGCAATCAAGTATTAAGTATGCAAATTTCACAACATGATACATTTTGGGTACAGATAGTTGGGCCTCTCTATGTAGAAACTTGACTGATAGGGAAACAGTAATTGTATCATAACACTTGCTCACTTGACAGAAGGGAGGCTACCTATGTCCTTCTTTTAGGGAATTTGGCTGGAGGTAAGAGTGTTGTGAAGCTTATCTGAATGGAGGAAAATAGTTATCGACTGTTTGCTGTATTGATTTGTCAAAAAACATCACCTATTACTACACAATTGGCCATAGAGAGATTAGCTGACCTACCTTTTCCATTATTTATACTCGACTAGAGACTGAAAACTGACTCACATTTCAAAGACTTGGCTTAAGACAGAAATTGTTTAACTCACTTTTTGCACACTTGGCTGAAGAGAGCATTTGGGTTGACTGTAGAGGTGCGGTTTGAGGTGTTATTGTTCATCTCCTGGAGGAAGTGACTGAGTGACTGAGTGAGGGGCCCAGCCTCACCCAGAGACACAGCAATGTGGGGAAGTTCCTTGACAGGCGGCGGTTCTCCATCACTTTCCTCCCCCGTGGAGCTGTCATCAGTATCACTCTTGCCGGAAATTGACACTGACCGACCCTTCTTTCCGCGTTCCAACAGACAGCTCTCAAAACACTGTGTCTGGGTCATATTCTAAACAGACAGAAAGAGTGTTTGGTCCTGAACTAGTTCTTGAATATTATTTGTAAAGTAAGCAGAGATTACATAAATCATTATTACTTGAATACCCTGTATTCCTTGAACTAAGATTTAACCTTTACCCTTTCATGTTTATAGAACTAATCCTACTGATACATAAACAATCGATAGATTATTTTACGGGAGCATCCCACCCAAAAATCCTGTATTTATATAAAAATTTTGGGAAAGGGATTATAATCGACCAAAGATACCAATTTAACATCATAATAAAATGACCAGGTATGTAATTTTTAAAAAGAAATTTATGGTTTTTAATGTATGTAAAACAAATTAATACAATAAGTGTGTTGTCAAAAATCTATAAATTTCTGCTCAATTGATAAAAGTACTTTATTCTTCAACATTATGGAAGTGACATTTCTTAAACGTATACAAGAAGGCACTACAGAGAGTGGCTTCTAATTACAAATGTAACAATGTACCTGCCATACCTCTAGAATAATTGTCTTATTTCAAGTTCTGATTCCTCTTTGAATACATATTCATGCCCGTTCAAAATTTACTGAAGTGTTTTAAAGTAAATAGTATTGTTTGGTAATGTAAAGCATGATTCCCATGAAAAAGCACTAGTGCTCTTCTGATATTTCTTCATTTACTTATATTTAACCTTACACATCTTTTTTCTTCCTCTCTCATAAATTTACCTAAACCAGATACAGATATATAGCAGACATTGTGTGTAATGCTTAAGGCATCTGATACATTTTTTTGTGCATTTGTGTCAATTGTAGATGAAGGATGCATGTAGATGTATTAGTTGTTGAACATATATATTAAACAGTGTAAATCTGTAGTAATTTTCTTCGTCTTTTACCTTTATAAATCATTGCTAGTTGTGACATACTTAATAACAGCACAATCGCTGTTCTGCGTTTGTCTTTTCAATTTGACAGATTGATACCCGACGATCTCTGACCAACATCAGATTAATTTAATTCCACATGTTTCCCCAACTTTTTCTATCTGGAGTTTAAGTTAGTCGGGTTTGACTGCATTTTTTATCTTTTATAAGATTTACAATTTTGATAATATTTACATGTAAAACTACACTTATCCTAGTGATATAGTCTGGAGACATTTTGGTACCAACAGAAATATTTCTCATGCACAGATGTTGTGATAGTTGAAGAACAGAACCCTGTCATAGAGACAAACGTATCTCTATAAAGTAATTTAACTTTTTACTGATGTTACCTGAGCCTTCTCTACCTACCTGTAAGACAGCATTGAAGAAACAGGTATTTCCAAGATTACTCAGGCCCTGAATAAAAACAAATAAAACTTGAAATTGAAGCAAATACTTCAAGATACCTATCCCTCTGCAGGCAATTCCATGAAAGAATTCCACAGTAGTTTTTCATACATGTAACAACTTCCTCTTAATTCCTGTTGAATAACTGTAGCAACTTGTAAAGGGTACTGCTACAGACCAGGTAGCTCAGTTTGTTAGAGAAACAGTATAATGGTAGATCAACAGCTCAAATCCTGGTTTTGCTCTGTTGTGTTTTTACACTCTGAACACTGTGTTGATTTTTCCTTTTTATTATTATTTTGTACAAAAGTTCTGCAAGGCATGGTTTTCAAAGATGATTTATAAATGTTGTAGTCACGCCGTAAATAAAGGGTTCCAATACCTAACAATTGATGCAGTGGTACAGGGGTCCTTAACGATAAAATGGTAAACTCTTTATACACATGTCAGAACTACCTGGTAAACAGATGATGTCAGACAGTTCTACACTTTACATATGTTGCTTTGTACCTTGATTTTATGACACAGTCCAGGTGCTGAGGTCTTTGGAGTAAGGGGTCGAGTATTGGTGTCCTTTACAACCTGCTCCGACCCATCTACAGCAGCAGCAGCCTCCTGTGTCACACGCTTCACTGAACATAAACAGAAATATAAAATACTGTGTCACACGCTTCACTGAACATAAACAGAAATATAAAATATTGTGTCACACGCTTCACTAAACATAACAGAAATATAAAATACTGTCTCACACGCTTCACTGAACATAACAGAAATATAAAATATTGTGTCACACGCTTCACTCAACATAAACAGAAATATAAAATTCTGTGTCACGCCCTTCACTGAACATAAACCGAAACATAAAATACTGTGTCACCCGCTTCACTGAACATAAAAAGAAATATAAAATACTGTGTTACACGCTTCACTGAACATCAACAGAAATATAAAATATTGTGTCACACGCTTCACTGAACATAACAGAAATATAAAATACTGTGTCACACGCTTCACTGAACATATTAAAACATAAACATCACAATAATTCAAACACATGTCTATTTTACGAACATTGTGTGATTTAACAAATAACCTATTTATTTTCAATCTTCTTTCAAAAGGCTAATCATATTGTGTTTATTTTTTATAGATTTTCATTTTCCAAATGTTCACTTAAACATATTAGGTGATAGAGGTGATCACAGTCCTCCTACATCTTTAATCAACACTTTCTGCTATTTCATTGGTACATGTTGCTGCCAGCTCTGAATATTTAAAATGCTACAGCATACAGGTTATTTAAGTCGACCAGTTTACACACCTAGTTCAGGCTGGGGCAGACCTGCTTGTTTCCTTAAGAACTCCATACACTCCTGTAGTCTTTTACTGCGTTCCAGTGGAATATCATCATCACACTTGTAACACCTGTAGCAGGGGCAATAACAAAACTAAATCAGATTTCTTGTATGATAAAATTATTTTACATAAACAGGGACATATTTATAGAAAGCCCATAAATTCACCAACAAATGCAACAAGGGTTCCAGAAATACACACTATTTTACATGTACTTGTTGAGTAGGGAGTTAGCTAATCATTTAGCTAATCAGTATGGTTAATAAGGGAATCACTTGTAACCAAAGTAGCACCATAAAGATGTTGAAATATGGAATATAATGTAATAAATAGCGTCTTTATAAATCAGCAAGAAAAAAAAGGTCCATTGTGAGACCCGGAACACCAACAGACAACACCTAGATCAGTTTGAACTTCAGATATATTTAGAGAGGACTGTGTATGGAATATTTAGGGAGGGTTAGGTTTATTCTTACCAGCATGTCCAGGTGGTGGAGTTTATCACCAGACAGTGACAGCTAGACCGTGGGGTCTCGTAATGCTTCAGGCCATGCTTGTCTCGTGAGTTTCGGTCACAACCCTACAACACATTCAAGAACTATGATTGCTTTACTTGTAAAATTATGTGAAATAAATGACCTTTGCAGTGGCTATACCCTTCTATTATTTCAAACTCTATAAAACTTGTCTTTAACGTGTAATATGTTCACAAGGGACACACACTTTCGACTCCTTTCCTTGAATTAATCTGGAAACAAGCTCTTAAGAACTCTTTTATAGTTGAAGAGATAATAGTTGACAATTCTAAACCAGAGTTGGTAATCAAACCCTGGATGTGTGCACAGAAGGCCAGGGTTTCACCACTGCACCAATCTGTCCACACATAAGGCCAGGGTTTTACCACTGCACCAATCTGTACACACATGTACACACAGAGGCCAGTGTTTCACCACTGCACCAATCGGTCCACACGTGTACACACAGAGGCCAGTGTTTAACCACTGAACCAATCTGTCCACCCATGTACATACCCACAGAGGCCAGTGTTTCACCACCGCACCAATCTGTCCACAAATGTACACACAGAGGCCAGTGTTTTACCACTGCACCAATCTGTACACACATGTACACACAAAGGCCAGTGTTTCACCACTGCACCATTCTGTCCACCCATGTACACACAGAGGCCAGTGTTTCAACACTGCACCAATCTGTCCACACGTGTACATACAGAGGCCAGTGTTCACCACAGCACCAATCTGTCTACAGAGGCCAGTGTTACACCACTACACCATTCTGTCCACACATGTACACACTGAGACCAGTGTTTCACCACTGCACAAATCTGTCCACACATGTACATACCCACAGAGGCCAGTGTTTCACCACTGCGCCAATCTGTCCACCCATGTACATACCCACAGAGGCCAGTGTTTCACCACTGCACCAATCTGTCCACACATAAGGCCAGTGTTTCACCACTGCACCAATCTGTCCACACATAAGGCCAGTGTTTTACCACTGCACCAATCTGTCCACACATGTACACACAGAGGCCAGTGTTTAACCACCGCACCAATCTGTCCACACGTGTACACACAGAGGCCAGTGTTTCACCACTGCACCAATCTGTCCACACATGTACATACACACAGAGGCCAGTGTTTCACCACTGCACCAATCTGTCCACCCATGTACACACAGAGGCCAGTGTTTAACCACCGCACCAATCTGTCCACTCGTGTACACACTGAGGCCAGTGTTTCACCACTGCACCAATCTCTCCACACGTGTACACCCAGAAGGCCAGTGTTTCACCACTGCACCAATCTGTCCACCCATGTACACACAGAGGCCAGTGTTTAACCACTGCACCAATCTGTCCACACGTGTACATACAGAGGCCAGTGTTCACCACAGCACCAATCTGTCTACAGAGGCCAGTGTTACACCACTACACCATTCTGTCCACACATGTACACACAGAGACCAGGGGGGGACCACTGCACCAATCTGTCCACACGTGTACACACAGAACGTCAGGGTTTCACCACTGCACTAATCTGTCCACACGTGTACACACAGAAGGCCAGTGTTTCACCATTGCACCAATCTGTCCACACGTCTACATACAGAGGCCAGTGTTTCACCACTGCACCAATCTGTCCACACGTGTACACACAGAAGGCCAGTGTTTCACCATTGCACCAATCTGTCCACACGTGTACATACAGAGGCCAGTGTTTCACCACTGCACCAATCTGTCCACACAGAAGGCCAGTGTTACACCACCGCACCAATCTGTCCACAAATGTACACACAGAGGCCAGTGTTTCACCACTGCAACAATCTGTCCACACATGTACACACAGAGGCCAGTGTTTCACCACTGCACCAATCTGTCCACACAGAAGGCCAGTGTTTCACCACTGCAACAATCTGTCCACACATGTACACACAGAGACCAGTGTTTCACCACTGCACCAATCTGTCCACACGTGTACACACATAAGGCCAGTGTTTCACCACTGCACCAATCTGTCCACACAGGTACACACAGAAGGCCAGTGTTACACCACTACACCATTCTGTCCACACATGTACACACAGAGACCAGTGTTTCACCACTGCACCAATCTGTCCACACGTGTACACACATAAGGCCAGTGTTTCACCACTGCACCAATCTGTCCACACATGTACACACAGAAGGCCAGTGTTTCACCACTGCAGCAATCTGTCCACACGTGTACACACAGAAGGCCAGGGTTTCACCACTGCACCAATCTGTCCACACATGTACACACATACGGCCAGGGTTTCACCACTGCAGCAATCTGTCCACACGTGTACACACAGAAGGCCAGGGTTTCACCACTGCACCAATCTGTCCACACATGTACACACATACGGCCAGTGTTTCACCACTGCAACAATCTGTCCACCCATGTACACACATACGGCCAGTGTTTCACCACTGCACCAATCTGTCCACACATGTACACACATAAGGCCAGTGTTTCACCACTGCACCAATCTGTCCACACGTGTACACACAGAACGTCAGTGTTTCACCACTGCACCAATCTGTCCACACGTGTACACACAGAAGGCCAGGGTTTCACCACTGCACCAATCTGTCCACACATGTACACAGAGGCCAGTATTTCACCACTGCACCAATATGTCCACATGTGTACACACATAAGGCCAGGGTTTCACCACTGAAGCAATCTGTCCACCCATGTATACACATAAGGCCAGGGTTTCACCACTGCACCAATCTGTCCACACAGAAGGTTCTTGTTCACTTATTAAACTAACTGATACACATATAAGACTCCCGAACATCCTAACCCGATAAAAGACTGTAAATTCAATACAAATATAAGACTATCTATCGTCATACCTGAATTCATATGTACATATAAGACTATTTGATATCCAAACTCAATATACAGATCAGATTATCTAACATCTAACCACAAATAGAAGATGCTACAAATGACAAGTAAAAGCTGCTGTGTGTTTTTACCTGGTGTCCACACTGTAGACACACCCACAGTGTAGGCTCTTGGTCACCAATCAAACTTTCTTCCTGATGAGGTGCACTAGCCTGGTCCAAAGTTTCCCCTTGTCCTGGTTTGCGTCCAGTTGAACTATCCTTAGAACAGGACTAAAAAACGAAATGAACACTCATAATCAATAACTTTTTCTTTTTGAAAGATCAGAATGAAGACCTTGTTTGCTGCTTATAAAGAGAATTTCTACTATATGTGCATTTTGAGTTTGTGAATACAAAGACTCAAGTAAATTTGTAACAAAATATCAAATGCCTTATGTACATAATTAGAAATATTAACAAACAAGAGGCCCATGGGCCTTAACGGTCACCTGATATATTTATACAGAGAGTTGATTTTGTTTTTAACAGGAACATAAATATTATTCAGTGACAAAAAACAATAAAACCACCTTATTCAATATCTAGCATGCAGATTTAAGACTAAAAAGTATTTAAAACTAGCACCTCTGTTTCTAAACAAGGAAAATGAAGAAATTTTAGCACACTGACTCCTTTGGGCCCCACCCTACATCCCTTGGGGGTAAGGCTGGCTCAAAATGTTCAAAGTATCAAACTGTCAACTCAGGGTTATAATTCCAATCAATTTATTAACATGTAATATTTAAAGTATCATTTGCCATTATAAACCATAATAAATTTTGCCTCACCCAGGGGGTAAATGTGAGACCCTAGGGTCATAAACTTTAAGACCCTTCCATCTATGAAGAGTGTTTGATTCTACCATATCTGGGTCTTTGAGAAGATTTTTTTTTGAAATTTCAGTCAATTCAATCCTTTTTGGCCCCCACCCATCAGCCCTGGGGGGTCAGTCAGGGCTTATATGTGCATACCATCAAACTGCTATCTAATACTGATAATGCTAACCCAAATTAAATTACTTCCAATGAAAATTAAACAATTGTTGGTCCAAAATGTGATTTCCCTATATAAACTATAGTAAAGTTTACCCCCTCCCCAGGGGTAAATGTGAGACCCCAGGGTCATAAAATTCACAATTTTGGTAGAGCAACTTAAGACCATTCCATCTATGAAGAGTGTTTGATTCTATCATATCTGGTTATTGAGAAGAAGATTTTTGAAATTTCAGTCAATTTGACTCTTTTTGGCCCCAACCATCAGCCTCGGGGGGTCAGTCAGGGCTCATATGTGCATACCATCAAACTGCTACCCAATACTGATAATGCTAACCTAAAATTAATTACTTCCAATGGCAATTTAAACAAATGTTGGTCCAAAATGTGATTTCCCTATATAAACTATAGTAAACTTTACCCCCTCCCCAGGGGGAAACGTGATAACCAAGGGTCATGAAATTCACAATTTTGGTAGAGCACCTTAAGACCCTTCCATCTATGAAGAGTGTTTGATTCTACCATATCTGGGTCTTGAGAAGAAGATTTTTGAAATTTCAGTCAATTCGGCTCTTTTCGGCCCAACCCATCACCCCCGGGACTATGTCTCAGGTGACCTAAAAATTCCACAGTAACCCAACTTGAAGATCTGTTTAAAAACTATTGTTATATTATAAATTCTCCCCTCCTCTTATTAACCAAAATTAATTGGCAATATTCAGAAAAAGCATGGTATCTCACAATATAAAGAACCTTGCAAAACCTTCATGACATAGTAGCAAAGGTCCTTGTGTGCACCAATATGGTATAGCCAGGATCCACACCAGTACCAGTGTTAACAGACTGTATGGGCCATACGTACAGGTGGGACAAAAGCAATATAAACATGCTAAATGAATCAAACTTTATATACATATAATTAATAGAACCAGTTTTGACCAAACAGAACTGAGGAAGGTGGTGTAATTTAATTTATTATAGCTACGTATACACACCAAGGATTTAATGGCGTTAAGGTAATAACAGAATGAAGATTTTGTAATCATAACTATTTTTTGTCATAGCTACACTTTCAATTTTCTATACTTAAAAAACAAAAACTATCAACACATGTACAAGTCAATATTATACAACTGCATGACACACTATATATATATAGCTATAGCTAATAGCCAGGGACTATGAACATGACACACTATATATATATAGCTATAGCTAATAGCCAGGGACTAGGAACATGACACACTATATATATATAGCTAAAGCTAATAGCCAGGAACTAGGAACATGACACACTATATATATATATATAGCTATAGCTAATAGCCAGGGACTATGAACATGACACACTATATATATATAGCTATAGCTAATAGCCAGGGACTATGGACATACCACAAATTTTGCACTACTCTTTAAAGTAGAATAATATCTCCAGTACAAACTAAATAATTTCAGGCGTCTAAAATAAAGTTTTGTATTAAGTAAATAATACCTGCTGATTACATTAGAATGATAAATACTGGGATTTTACAAGACCTAATGCTGAAATAAAACCTACCGCGCACTCCCCATACACTTGTTTGGTCAATCCTTTCTTCATGGCAGCCAAGTTAACAGCCATATTAATATGGTTACACACTGGTACTGAAACAAACATTATTGTATATAATCAACCCATAGGTCATCTATAAAATAATGAAACTGATGCTTATAAGGTTTCATCACACAATTTAATTAATATTCATTGTTTTACTTTTATTAAATAAAGAGATTTAAAACACATTTTGATTAATACCCATATATCTGTTCCATAATGTACAGTTTGTAGACTATCTTAAACATCTACTCATATAATTATAAAAAAGTGTTGTTTATTATAATCTGAAATTTTTCATATTAAAAAAACTCCAGAGCAAAACAAAGTCACACAATTATAAGGAGACAAAGGAGAAAGTGAACATACATGATGCACATCCATCATCAGAAGAATCGGAGGCTTCCTTGGCCTTTCGCATCTTATGTTTGCGGTTCTTTCCCATGTTGTACGACTGTGTCGCTTCAGTCTCGAGCACTCTCATTTAGTCTGTTTGGCGTCAAGTAAAACCTGTGGTAAGAAAATGTAAATACATCATTTCTAGTTTATATATTCACTAACAAGAGGCCCAAGGGCCTTAGCGGTCACCTGAGTTATATCATAGGTACTGGTAGCTTTATTTTATTGTTTAGATGTGATGTGGAAATCAGCATGTAAACTAAGTGAAATACAATACTTGTCATGTCATCAAAGGATAAGAATTTGAAAATATTGGTAAATGTTCCCTTTGGGGCCCCGCCCTAGCCCCTGGGGATGGGGCAGGAATCCCAATTTTACAAAGTAATACTCTCATTCACCAAAGATGATTCTGACTAAGTTTGAGTAATTTTCTGCTGAAAATGGATAAAATATATACCCAAAAGTGTTATTTCCCTATATAAACTATAGTAAACTTTACCCCCTCCCCAAAGGAGAACGGATAGCTGGGGGGTCCTGAAATTTACAATTTAAGTAAAGCCTCTGATGATCTTTCTTTCCATGTAGAGAAAATGAGTGTAGTACCTCTGAGTCTGGAGAAGAAGATTTTTGAAATATTGGTTAATTTTCCCTTTGGGGCCCCGCACTGGCCCCAGGGGTTGGGGTAGGATTCTCAATTTTACAATTTGAAACCATCTTCCTCCAAGGATAATTCTCACCAAGTAAAAATAATTTCCTAAAGAAAATATACCCAAAAGTGTTATTTAATTACTGAATGATGTTGTTGTTGCAATGCTTATTAACCACAGATAAGCAATGCTTATTAACCACAGATAAGCAATGCTTATTAACCACAGATAAGCAATGCTTATTAACCACAATCTCTTCATAGAGTCCACAAATACTGTCTCTAACAATTTAAGGTTATGTATTACTGGGGTATGCAAAGAACATTGAAATAGATATCAATGCTGTTAAATGCATGTATATAGTTTTCTGAGAAATTCTCGGTACAATACATGGATGATGTAATTGGAACTTGATACTACCTATATATATGATAAGTAAAGTTTCCAATAGAAATGATCATCATCTGAAGCTCAGTCATGTGAAATCAATACTGGTTTTTAAGTGCCTTACAAGGTCAGGAGGAATTCGGACAGTAACATACCAGGTGTATGTACAATGACTTAGCTCATTTAGTGTTAATTACGTTCTTACAAAAATCAAAAGTCAGTCTGTCATTAACTACAAGTCTTCACTATTGAGAACTCAATCTCTCCACTACAAACTGACCTCCAACTATAAACTGTAAAACTACACAGAATTACAAACTACAGCTAAAACTACTAATATTATAACTAACTTCCTAATTCTCACTTTAACTCTAAACTTTTGAAACTCTCCTCTATATCGCTTGACCTCACAACTTGGTCTCTCTAACTCAACCTCCTTCCTCAAGACTCTTTGTACACAAATCATCAAAGTGACTCAATATCAAACCTAATCATGTCACAGCTAGGACAGACTTATTCCAATGAAATTATTATATACCGAGTAAAACACCACATATTCATACCCCCTTCCTTAAAAAAAGTACATGTACCAGATAATGAAGAAAACAGTATGTGAATTTGATATGGTACTTACCTACTAGATAATTAAAACATCACTGACCTATTCGGTGCTTGGTCAGGCCTAGTACTTATATTAAAACCCGGCCTCCTCTGACGACGCAAATAGACTCTATTGATCATGAAGACTGTGCTAAGTTGAACAATGACCTTAAGTCTTTAGAAAAATGGGAAGAAAAGTGGCAAATGAAGTTTAACACCATTTAATGTTCTATTATTAATGTATCAAAAAAGAAACATCATTAATTATAATCATACCCTTCATAATCAGATTTTAGAAAATGTAGATACTAACAAATATATTGGTGTCACTTTCAGTTTAGACCTAACTTGGTGCAAACACATTCAATCAGCGACCAACAAGGCCAATAAGACCTTGGGTTTCCTACGTCGAAATACATCTTCATGTACTAGGAAAGTTAAATCACAGGCATACACTACTCTTGTAAGACCAGTTTTAGAATATGCACCAACTTGTTGGGACCCCTATTCCATCAACAACAATTACACAATGTACAACGTACAGTGTAGAGTAGCGAGATACTTTTAACTAGTACAGGTCTAGAGATCCAGGCTGTATTACAAACATGATGAAATCATTAGATTGGGAATCTTTATCACAAAGAAGGGCAAAAGCTAGATTGTCAATGCTATACAAGATCTCGCATAATATCGTTAGAATTAACCCATCATCATACTGGACATCAGGTGACAGACGAACAAGGGGGGCACATAAAATAAACACAATACATGTATCTACCGCAAAAGATGCCTACAAATTCTCTTTTTTTTCCCCAAGAACTATTATAACCTGGAACTCATTACCAACATCATTGGCCCTTAGTGAGGAATTACCTTCTTTCGAATCCTCACTTGAAGGTTACCATCAGTCTCTTTACTAATTTTACATCCTCGTTATGTACATAGTTTTAATATAATACCTAAAATTACAAAAAAATCTTTGAAATGCCAACTACTAGGGTCAAATGCACTCCAACATTGGAGTTCTGATCCTTTTAATGGAAGAAGAAGATATAAAAAAAATCTCTCGTCGTTATCGCACCTAGGTCAGGCGGAACGACCTAAACATAAAACAGACCCAACTTTTCACGATTAATGCATCGCCTTTCTTTGTACGGTTACATATATTGAATCAATTTAGCTATGGTCAGAACATCATGGACGCACAGACATTAGTTAACTTGCACCATCGTTAATTAGTGCCAATCGCAGACTCCTGACCCCGTGGCCCGTCATAACCGTGTCCAATAAATAATATCATATATATATATATATATACAGTACACTTCCCATGTCCGAGTTAAAATTCAAGGATTAGCGGAAATTCCAGAATGGCAAACGGTCCAGGAATGAACCATATTGATCAAACTAACCTGTTCGTAATGTTGTTTAAGTCATTTATCGTAATGACACGTTTCAATCGCTGATAAAGCTACTTTTCCCGTCTACCATCACAGCAAGGGTCCCGAACATGGCGACTTTGCATGATTTCTATCGCGGTAGTTACGTATTTTGACGTCACGATATTGTTACCTTCTTACTTTTTGTAAAATAATAATAACTTATTTCGGAGGTATGTTGAAACGATTACATATATATATGACCGTTTACATAAGATAAGACTCTCCATCATAAAATCATAAAATCGTAAAATCATATAAATACGAAACAAAATGCTGATTAAAATTAAGGCGCATTCGTTTAAGTTAAAATCGATTATCTCAAAGTTCTCAAAAGTTAAACAATTTATCTCATCACAAATAGTTCTCATATTAATATTCGTTTTAAAAATGCGAATACATTTTAGATACAAATATCTCAAATCTGATTAACTAATTCGTTTCTTGGTGATTGTGTGCTAACAAGTCGAACGCACCGATGCAACCTAATGAATGACTTAGAGTCGTTATCGGTTGCAACTTTAGACTCATGTTGACAAATGAATTTGGTCATCATTTATTTTATACGCAATATATAAATTGTTCAAAAGCGAAGTGAGATTTAGAACCATTTTGCTTGTTCCGAACAAAATAGATTAAATGACATAGCGTAAATGCATGACCGTAATGGCGTACATTGATTATGTCATTTACTTTCATTGACAACAAAACCGTAAGCCACCTTGCTTCACATGCTTAACCTGCTGACTAACACTGCAAGAGTTGAACGCTGACAGCATACCCCTTGAGATTGTAAGCAAACAGTAATGAAATGCGTACATCACAGTTTTGTTTTGTTTCTAAACATAAACTCGATTTTCTGAAACAATCAAGGTAAATCAAGGTACCAGTAAATCATTAAAGGAACTATCAACAGGCTAACTTGCAGTTTAAATAAACCAGATAACTCATATTCTTTTATTTATTCTGTTACAATGTTTTTTTCCTGGCTCGTGTCAGTGAATGGAAACTCACAGTAGGCACATATTTTGTTCTGTACAGATGCACACCTTATAACATTGCATTTTCTAGAATGTCTATCTATTTTCTTTGGATGAAATGCCATGACATTTTTCACTGCTGTCAAACTATTGTTGTATTTGTTTCAGGTTGACTTATGGACATGCAAAGGGTATAAAACCCAAGCAAAGTATGGAAGATGCTACTGACAAACAACATTGGCTCCTTCAAGTGAAACATGGGTTTAAAAGATTAATACAAGAGAAACTATTTACAGATGTGATTTTGAAAGTCGGAGATCAGGAATTTGAGTGCCACAAGAACATTTTGTGTGTGTTTTCATCTTATTTTGGATGTATGTTCCAGTCAGGAATGATTGAGAGTCGAGAGGAGGTGATAGAGCTGGGAATGGTGGAAGCAGGGCCCATGGACCTGTTGATTCAGTATATGTACACTGGTATGATGGACATGAACACACACAATATTGCCAGACTGCTATGGACAGCCACCTTCCTCCAGATGGATGGGTTTCTGAACTGGATGCGTCAAGATTACAACCTGGACGATTACATACACTTGGATAATTTCTGGGATTTGTGGTGTCTAGCTGAGAGCCACCATGACTGTATCTTCCTGAAAGATCCCCTGATAAACTTTGTTTTAAAAAACTTTGAAAAATTGTACAAGACACCAGGATTTAAGGAGAATATGTCATCTGAAGACCTATTATCTATACTGAACGATAAAAGTTTGATGGTGAAGAATGAAGACACAGTTATTAATTCTGTCCTCACATGGGTAAATCATAGCAGAGAGAAAAGAAGGGTAGACCTCACTAGACTTATACATGCAGTGCGCCTACCACTTTGTCAGAGAAGTAGTCTGGAGCAGCTCAGGAGTAGCTTCAGAGATGATATGGATCAGGCTGTGCATGATAACCTGAAAATAGCAGAACAGTATCAACAGGACTGCGGAGGACAGATGTGTTTTGCCACTGCACAGAGCCAGTACAGGCCATATAGTGGCAAAGAGAAAGTCCTTATCCTTATAAATGAAGAGAAAGAAACCCACCCATCAAATGAGGATGACATTTGTTACCCCTCTGTCTCATTTAACCGTAAACCTTCCATCTCATTTGAGCCTGATGGAATGTTGACTGTGCTTCCTTACAGCTTCAGGCCAGGGGGCTTCACCACCTGTACATATGCAGAGAGCTGTGTGTATCTCTGTGGGTACCGCCAACAAACCAATGCCTTCTTCTACTACTCGACCATTACTGACAAGTGGCAGTGTCTGGAGCCCTGTCCTGGAGCCTGCAGGGTCGATGCCCACATTGTTGCTATCAGAGACAGAATCTATCTGTTTGGCGGAGAGGAAGTTGGCAAGGGTACACTGCTGTCTGCTGTCTATGTGTACAACGTCACAAACAATCACTGGGATGCCATTCCTTACTGTCATCTGCAGATTCCTGTAACTAAGTCTCTGAAGGGTTGCCTTGGTGATAAGATTTACATTTTTGGAGGTTTGTCAGCCTCAGGTGATCGTGAAATGAGGTTTGGTGAAGACATTGTGCAGTGTATAGACACCACAGACAAGTCCTGTTCCATCATGTGCTGCTCTAACCTTGTCAGGGGAGTCGTGTCCCAGGGATGTGCCTACAGCTGCCATGCTGACGGTACTGTACACATCATTTACAAAGAAAGCACCAACTCGCTACTCATAGTCAGGTTTGACCCAGAATCATCAACAAAGTTTGAAAGTATAGGTTCTATTCCAACTACCATTAATACTTTTGACTTCAGTAAATGTAATTTGAGAATGGTGAAACAAGACTGCAACCTTGTGGTAGCCATTACGGAAACTGCTCCATTGCAAAGTGCTCTTGGTTGTATTGTGAACTTTGATTTGAAAACCAAAACGAAAACAAAAGGGAAGCTATTTCTACATGATTTGGAGGTTATGGAATTCCACTTCTTAGTTCTGACTGATGAAATGATGAATGCAGATTTATGATGACTAAAAGAACTACACATGAAGTGAATGAACCTAGCTTCCATGATATGTATAGCAACTAGCAAATTTAACATCACAAGTTGTTAAAAAGAAGTTCTCTGTTATCGATTTTCAAAATTACCATTGAATGAAAATCTAGCAATGCAAACTATTCATAAAAAGTCATGAATGAAAACATTTATAACATTTTATAATATGCAAAGTATTTCATTTTTATCAACAAAATTCAGAAGAATATAAGATAAGCGTCTTCTGATTGTGTTCTAATTAAGAAAGTGATGTTCAGAATTTAAATACTGTTGAAAGAATCTATTAGTGATGAAGAAACAAAAGTGCTGTCACTTTACTAACTACATTTGTAAAGGTAAAGAGTACCTCATCAGCAGTTAAAATTGTTAAGATTTCCATTATAGAGCCATAAAAAATAAGGGTTGCTTCCCTTTGTACAGTATTTATCTCTCATTTTAATGCAGAATCGATATAATTTCTGGTACCAACATTGGTAAAGTGCAGAATTAGTAGGGTATAGGTTTTCCGAGGATTTCTGTTTTTCATTTTTAGCATACCTGACCGTGGTGAGCTTATGCCATACTGCAGCGTCCGTCGTCTGTCTGTCGTCCGTCTGTCAACTTTTCCTTTAAAATGCTACTAGTCCTGAATGGCTAAGTAGATTTTATTCTAACTTCGTCTGGGGCATCCTTGGGCCAAGGAAACACAATTTTGTATGAATGGTGGGTGTAGCCCCCTTGGGGGCAGTGGGGCGAGGCCGAATAGGGGAAATAGAGGTAAAACCTTTAAAATCTCTCTTCTACCATAGGGATTAAGGATTTTATCCTAAATTAGTCTGGAACATCCTTGGGCTAAGGGGACACAATTTTGTATAAACGGTGGGTGTGGCCCCCCTGGGGGCAGAGGGGCGGGGCCAAACAGTGGAAATAGAAGTAAAACCTTTAAAACCCTTTTTCTACCGCAGGGATTAAGGGATTTCAATTAAATTTAGTCTGGAGCATCTTTTGGCCAAGGGAACACAATTTTGTATAAACTGTGGATGTAGTCCCTTGGTGGCAGTGGGGCGGGGCCGAATAGGGGAAATAGAGGTAAAACCTTTAAAATCCTTCTTCTACCATAGGGATCAAGGAATTTTATCCTAAATTAGTCTCGAGCATCTTTTTGCCAAGGGGACACAATTTTGTATAAATGGTGGGTGTGGCCCCCCTGGGGGCAGAGGGACGGGCCGCCAAACAATGGAAATAGAAGTAAAACCTTTAAAATACTTCTTCTACAGTAGGGATTAAAGGATTTTTATCCTTATTTAGTCCGGAGCATACTTGGGCAAAGGGGACTCATTTTTGCATGAACGGTGGGTGTGGCCCCCTTGGGGGCAGAGGGGCGGGACCGAATAGGGGAAATAGAGGTGAAACCTTTAAAATCCTTCTTCTAACATAGAGATTAAAGTATTTTATCCTAAATTAGTCTGGAGCATCCTTGCATCTTGGTCTTGGTGTGGCCCCCCTGGGGTCAGAGGGGCGGGGCCCAATAGGGGAAACATAGCAAATTCTTCAAAATCCTTGTCCTTCTGTAGGAATGACAGGGTTTTGTCATAATTTGGTATGAAATATCCTTGGGTGAAGGGGAACCAATTTTGTATAAACGGTGTGTCTAACCCCACTTGGGGCAGAGAGGCAGGGCCAAATAAGGGATAAAGAGGAATAGCTTTAATATCCTTTTTAGCTCACCTGGCCCGAAGGGCCAAGTGAGCTTATGGCATGGTTTGTTCAAATAAATGACCTTCATCCATTTTCAAGGTCACAGGGGTCAAATATGTTAAATTCTTTAAACAACTTCTTCTGAATAACCAAGAGGCATAGGGTGATGATATTTGGCCAGTAACATGCTGGGATGAAGGGCTTCCAATTTTGTTTAAACAAATGACCTTGATTTATATTCAAGGTCACAGGGGTCAAATATGTTTAAAACCTTTAAACAACTTCTTCTGAATAACCAAGAGGCCTAGGGTGCCTAAATTTGGCCAGTAACATGCTGGGATGGAGGGCTACCAAGTTTGTTCAAATAAATGACCTTGACTTATATTCAAGGTCACAGGAGTCAAATATGTTTAACACCTTTCAACGACTTCTTCTGAATAACCGATAGGCCTAGGGTGATGATATTTGGCCAGTAACATGCTGGGATGAAGGGCTACCAGGTTTGTTCAAATAAATAACCTTGACTTATATTCAAGGTCACAGGGGTCAAATATGTTCAAAACATTTAAACAACTTCTTCTAAATAACCAATAGGCCTTGGGTGCATAAATTTGGCCAGTAACATGCTGGGATGAAGGGCTACCAAGTTTGTTCAAATAAATGACCTTGATTTATATTCTAGGTCACAGGGGTCAAATATGTTTAAAACCTTTAAACAACTTCTACTGAATAATCAAGAGGCCTAGGGTGATGAGATTTGTCGAGTAACATGCTGGGTTGAATAGCTACCAGGTTTGTTCAAATAAATGACCTTGACTTATATTCAAGGTCACAGGGGTCAAATATGTTCAAAACATTTAAACAACTTCGTCTGAATAACCAAGAGGCCTAAGGTGATAATATTTGTCGAGTAACATGCTGGGTTGAATAGCTACCAGGTTTGTTAAAATAAATGACCTTGACTTATATTCAAGGTCACAGGGGGCAAATATGTTCAAAACATTTAAACAACTTCGTCTGAATAACCAGGAGGCCTAAGGTGATAATATTTGTCGAGTAACATGCTGGGTTGAATAGCTTCCAGGTTTGTTCAAATAAATGACCTTGACTTATTTTCAAGGTCACAGGGGTCAAATATGTTTAAAACCTTTAAACAACTTCTACTGAATAATCAAGAGGCCTAGGGTGATGAGATTTGTCGAGTCACATGCTGGGTTGAGTAGCTACCAGGTTTGTTCAAATAAATGACCTTGACTTATATTCAAGGTCACAGGGGTCAAATATGTTCAAAACATTTAAACAACTTCTTCTGAATAACCAAAAGGCCTAAGGTGATAATATTTGGCCAGTAGCATGCTTGGATGAAGGGCTACCAAATTTGTTCAAATAAATGACCTTCATCCATTTTCAAGGTCACAGGGGTCAAATATGTTTAAAACCTTAAAACAACTTCTTCTGAATAACCAAATGCCCAGGGTGATGATATTTGGCCAGTAGCATGCTGGGATGAAGGGCTACCAAGTTTGTTCAAATGAATGATCTTGACCAACTTTCAAGGTCATAGGTGTCAAATGTCTTAAAATCTTCAAACAACTTCTTCTCAATAACCAAAAGGCCCAGGGTACTGATATTTGGTCTGTAGCAATCAGGGCTACCAAATTTGTTTAACTGAATGACCTTGACCCACTTTCAACCTAATGTCATTGTTTGACATTCAGGGTCACACTGATCATCTGCCTGTTGCTGTATTTTAGTCCACTTTTAAGATTACAAGTGTGAGATTAATTCCAGGTGAGTGATGCAGGCCCATTGGGCCTCTTGTTTTCTTATGTTAGGATGATGGTATTTTGACCAAATTTGAACAGTAGCATCCTATGCGGAAGGGAAATCAATTTTGTGTAAATGGTGTGTCTGACCCCCCTGGGGCCTGAGAGGTGGGGGCCAATAAAGGTAATTTAGCAAATTCTTCAAAATTCTTCTTCTGTAGGAATAACAGATTTTTGTCCATATTTGGTCTAAAACATCATTGGGTAAAAGTGACCTGATTTTGTATCAAAGGTGGGTCTGACCTCCCTAGGGGCAGAGGGGCGGGGCCCAATAGGGGAAACACAACAAATTCTTCAAAATCCTTCTTTTCCTGTAGGAATGACAGGATTTTGTCCAATTGCATAAATATAACCCCTGACTAACCATGTAATACATGTACACTACCAGCGACATCTAGCTATTCCAACTTCAATTTTACTAACATTTCCAGGTGAGCGATACAGGCTCTCTGGGCCTCTTGGTTCAATTTTGTTTGTAAATTATCCAATTTCGTATAATTGTAATTCTGTTGTTTTATAATGAATTCATCTGTCCAAAAACAAAAGTTGAAAACTATTTCACAGTGGTTCCAGTGGTAGCAATTTTATGTTGATAGTCCCTCTTTAACTTAAGTATTTACACTGCTGACATGTGGTATTATCTATCGAAATAAAGTTACACTGTGATTATTGATGTATAGTTACCTTGTATGTGAAATGTAGGGTAATATAAACTTTTGTTTTGAAGTTTAGGACTAGTATAAACGTGTATTGTGTAGGTGCTGCCAATAGGCAAATAAAGGAAGGAGACTGTAGGAAGGTGATTGAAAAATACATATGCCTGGTCAAACATTTGCTACAATATGATTAATGATTTTCTATTGACTCTTTTACGTAAAAGGGTATGTATATATTCATGCTATTCAGTTGAATAATTCTAAGATATTTAGATGAAGCCCAATCTGATTGTGCACCAAGATATTAGATACTTGAGCAGCCATGGAAAAAATACCCAAATGTTCCAAGATTGGGACCCCTTCTTAGCCCCCAAGGATATAACACCCTTCCTTTAACCTAGTCTCATGGATACTTGTTAGTATATGTGGCTGAAGTTATACAGGTTGTTTAGACTTGAACATCAAAATGGACTGCTCTTTTACTCTCCAACCAAGGGGGAGGATCCTAGTCCCACTCCAGTGGTGGCCTACTATGTGGGAGGATCCTAGTCCCACTCCAGTGGTGGCCTACTATGGGGGAGGATCCTAGTCCCTCTCCAGTGTAGGCCTACTATGAAGAGCCTCCCATTTCTCTTGACCTATTTTTTTTCAATTTAATAAGATTAATTTAATTTTCCTTTTTTTTCTATCTGCTGAAAAATGGAACATTTGCCTGGTCAAAAAAAATCTGTATTTGCTCTTTATTCAACCAGTTGTATTTTACAACTGTTACAAAATAAGCAAATTCATTCAATATATCTCGTAAGGTTTACTCTGTATCATCAGGACAGTGTGTGTGTTATAAATACCAATATATCTCGTAAGGTTTACTCTTTGTTATCAGGACAGTGTGTGTGTTATCAATACCAATATATCTCGTCACGTTTACTCTTTATTATCAGGACAGTGTGTGTGTTATCAATACCAATATATCTCGTCACGTTTACTCTTTATTATCAGGACAGTGTGTGTGTTATCAATACCAATGTATCTCGTAAGGTTTACTCTTTATTATCAGGACAGTGTGTGTGTTATCAATACCAATATATCTCGTCACGTTTACTCTTTATTATCAGGACAGTGTGTGTGTTATCAATACCAATGTATCTCGTAAGGTTTACTCTTTATTATCAGGACAGTGTGTGTGTTATCAATACCAATATATCTCGTCACGTTTACTCTTTATTATCAGGACAGTGTGTGTGTTATCAATACCAATGTATCTCGTAAGGTTTACTCTTTATTATCAGGACAGTGTGTGTGTTATCAATACCAATATATCTCGTCACGTTTACTCTTTATTATCAGGACAGTGTGTGTGTTATCAATACCAATGTATCTCGTAAGGTTTACTCTTTATTATCAGGACAGTGTGTGTGTTATCAATACCAATATATCTCGTCACGTTTACTCTTTATTATCAGGACAGTGTGTGTGTTATCAATACCAATGTATCTCGTAAGGTTTACTCTTTATTATCAGGACAGTGTGTGTGTTATCAATACCAATATATCTCGTCACGTTTACTCTTTATTATCAGGACAGTGTGTGTGTTATCAATACCAATGTATCTCGTAAGGTTTACTCTTTATTATCAGGACAGTGTGTGTGTTATCAATACCAATATATCTCGTCACGTTTACTCTTTATTATCAGGACAGTGTGTGTGTTATCAATACCAATGTATCTCGTAAGGTTTACTCTTTATTATCAGGACAGTGTGTGTGTTATCAATACCAATATATCTCGTCACGTTTACTCTTTATTATCAGGACAGTGTGTGTGTTATCAATACCAATGTATCTCGTAAGGTTTACTCTTTATTATCAGGACAGTGTGTGTGTTATCAATACCAATATATCTCGTCACGTTTACTCTTTATTATCAGGACAGTGTGTGTGTTATCAATACCAATGTATCTCGTAAGGTTTACTCTTTATTATCAGGACAGTGTGTGTGTTATCAATACCAATATATCTCGTCACGTTTACTCTTTATTATCAGGACAGTGTGTGTGTTATCAATACCAATGTATCTCGTAAGGTTTACTCTTTATTATCAGGACAGTGTGTGTGTTATCAATACCAATATATCTCGTCACGTTTACTCTTTATTATCAGGACAGTGTGTGTGTTATCAATACCAATGTATCTCGTAAGGTTTACTCTTTATTATCAGGACAGTGTGTGTGTTATCAATACCAATATATCTCGTCACGTTTACTCTTTATTATCAGGACAGTGTGTGTGTTATCAATACCAATGTATCTCGTAAGGTTTACTCTTTATTATCAGGACAGTGTGTGTGTTATCAATACCAATATATCTCGTCACGTTTACTCTTTATTATCAGGACAGTGTGTGTGTTATCAATACCAATGTATCTCGTAAGGTTTACTCTTTATTATCAGGACAGTGTGTGTGTTATCAATACCAATATATCTCGTCACGTTTACTCTTTATTATCAGGACAGTGTGTGTGTTATCAATACCAATGTATCTCGTAAGGTTTACTCTTTATTATCAGGACAGTGTGTGTGTTATCAATACCAATATATCTCGTCACGTTTACTCTTTATTATCAGGACAGTGTGTGTGTTATCAATACCAATGTATCTCGTAAGGTTTACTCTTTATTATCAGGACAGTGTGTGTGTTATCAATACCAATATATCTCGTCACGTTTACTCTTTATTATCAGGACAGTGTGTGTGTTATCAATACCAATGTATCTCGTAAGGTTTACTCTTTATTATCAGGACAGTGTGTGTGTTATCAATACCAATATATCTCGTCACGTTTACTCTTTATTATCAGGACAGTGTGTGTGTTATCAATACCAATGTATCTCGTAAGGTTTACTCTTTATTATCAGGACAGTGTGTGTGTTATCAATACCAATATATCTCGTCACGTTTACTCTTTATTATCAGGACAGTGTGTGTGTTATCAATACCAATGTATCTCGTAAGGTTTACTCTTTATTATCAGGACAGTGTGTGTGTTATCAATACCAATATATCTCGTCACGTTTACTCTTTATTATCAGGACAGTGTGTGTGTTATCAATACCAATATATCTCGTCACGTTTACTCTTTATTATCAGGACAGTGTGTGTGTTATCAATACCAATGTATCTCGTCACGTTTACTCTTTATTATCAGGACAGTGTGTGTGTTATCAATACCAATATATCTCGTCACGTTTACTCTTTATTATCAGGACAGTGTGTGTGTTATCAATACCAATGTATCTCGTCACGTTTACTCTTTATTATCAGGACAGTGTGTGTGTTATCAATACCAATGTATCTCGTCACGTTTACTCTTTATTATCAGGACAGTGTGTGTGTTATCAATACCAATATACATCTGTTAAGTTTAAATTAAATCTGATGATATTTTGTGTGTAATCAATATCAATTTATATCTCTCAAGTTTACTCTTCATTATCAGGATAGTGTGTGTTTTCAATACAATTACATCTCGTAAATATTCTTAATTGTAAGGAAATTATTTGTATTATCAATACAAATGTATATCTTGCCAAGTTTACTCTTAATCATTACCTTTCGTGATGCATGATGTTTTTATGATCGTGAAATATTGAATGCTTTATTTTTGCTGTATGATCGTCAGTGTGGTTTATCGTTTACCTTGTTGTGCCCCATCGTCCTTCAATTTACTGGACTATCGACGTTACAACGAGTCGTTATACAATTATATCAACATGCTTTCTGGTTAAAGGAATATAATATTTTGTTTTCACTTGCCATTGTTACTGAACATTTATAGTGTAAAAACAGACAACATGAACAATCAGATAAAGTTTACTAACAGTGTTGTGTAACAATTGGCACCAATATAAGCAATACATTCGATAAGTAAAATTCACTTTATGTAATTTATACAGTTTATGCAGTTAAATTGGGTGAAGGGTGGAGCAATGGAATGCGCACTCGCCGTTCACGAAGACGGCCGGGTTTTGATTCCCCGATTGGTCATGATAAGGAATGGAGTCACCTGCCCGACCACGTGGGTTTTCTCCAGGTACTTAGGTTTCCTCCCACATCAAGACCCTCAGAGCGCTTACAACCGGGCAAATAAGAGTGATTGTTATAGGGTGTAACATAGGCGTTCAGCACCAGGGTAGTAACATAGGCGTTCAGCACCCTGGTAGTAACATAGGCGTTCAGTACCAGGGTAGTAACATAGGCGTTCAGCACGTGGGTAGTAACATAGGCGTTCAGCACCCTGGTAGTAACATACGCGTTCAGCACGTGGGTAGTAACATAGGCATTCAGCACCCTGGCAGTTACATTGGCGTTCAGCACACTGGTAGTAACATAGGCTTTCAGCACCAGGGTAGTAACATAGGCGTTCAGCACCCTGGTAGTAACATTGGCGTTCGGCACCAGGGTAGTAACATAGGCATTCAGCACCATGGTAGTTGCATAGGCGTTCAGCACGTGGGTAGTAACATAGGCATTCAGCACGTGGGTAGTTACATTGGCGTTCAGTACCAGGGTAGTTACATTGACATTCAGCACCAGGGTAGTAACATAGGCGTTCAGCACGTGGGTAGTTACATTGGCGTTCAGCACCAGGGTAGTTACATAGGCGTTCAGCACGTGGGTAGTAACATAGGTGTTCAGCACGTGGGTAGTTACATTGGCGTTTAGCACCATGGTAGTTACATTGGCATTCAGCACCAGGGTAGTTACATTGACATTCAGCACCAGTGTAGTAACATAGGCGTTTAGCACCAGGGTAGTTACATAGGCGTTCAGAACCAGGGTAGTAACTGAGGCGTTCGTTCAGCACTAGGGTAGTAACATTGTTGTTTATTACCAGAGTAGTAACATAGGCGTTCAGAACCAGGGTAGTAACTGAGGCGTTCGTTCAGCACTAGGGTAGTAACATTGTTGTTTATTACCAGAGTAGTAACATAGGCGTTTAGCACCAGGGTAGTAACATAGGAGTTCGTTCAGCACTAGGGTAGTAACATTGTTGTTTATTACCAGAGTAGTAACATAGGCGTTTAGCACCAGGGTAGTAACATAGGCGTTTAGCACCAGGGTAGTAACATAGGAGTTCGTTCAGCACTAGGGTAGTAACATTGTTGTTTATTACCAGAGTAGTAACATAGGCGTTTAGCACCAGGGTAGTTACATAGACATTCAGCACCAGGGGAGTAACATAGGCGTTCAGCGCGTGGGTAGTTACATTGGCGTTCAGCACGTGGGTAGTAACATAGGCGTTCAGCGCGTGGGTAGTTACATTGGCGTTCAGCACCAGAGTAGTAACATAGGCGTTCAGCACCAGGGTAGTAACATAGGCGTTCGTTCAGCACTAGGGTAGTAACATTGTTGTTTATTACCAGAGTAGTAACATATGCTTGTAAAACCAGGTTAGTAATAAAGGCTTCAAGTTCGAATCTAATTACGGTAACACTAAGGTAGTGGTACATGGATACCCACGCAGTATGAAACAGTTAATTATATCTTCACTGATGTACCTGTTATAAATGTGATTCGTATGTATGTATAATTAAATTCAAACATACCATATTTGATAATTATGTTACAGGTACCGTATTGTATGGTCGAAGAATATGATTTAAAGAACACTTGTGGTAGGCCCGCACAACTTGTATTTAAATACCGAAGACGCTCTGCTCTTTTTCCACAAATGAGCACAGCTTATATGGATGGCCAGGTAGATGTGTTATGAGAATGATGATCACGTGTGCAGACGTCATGACGACACACATGTCTTCCATTGCTCAAGTCTCTGCTGTTTGAATGTATCTGGGTGGAACGCATACGGCTCGTCTGTTTGTTGACAGCTGTTGCTATAGGCGTCTGATGAGTATATGTCAGGAGCCTCGACCTTGATGTAACCTGGCAAGTTCAAAGATGGATCCATGGTGAGAACAGGGATAGGGCGTTGTATGTATGTGTAGGGGTAGAGGATGGACTTCATGTACTCTCCTTCACATTCGGAAGTATTTGTGTCGCCTAAAAGGGAAAATGAAAATATCATAATAAATTAAGAAGTGGTTGAAGAAGAAGATAAAACCGATGTTACTCTTGTTTGACCACAGAAGTCTACTGAAAGATTTGTTTACAGCTGTATGGTACAGAGTTATTTATTTTGGCCAACTGTACCTATATCAACCACATGTATGTGTCTTACCCTCATTGTACTTAAACGTCAATGCCGCATAAGTTGTTTGTTGTAAAAACAGCTCTACAGAGCTAATGTTTATAGTTTAACATGTACGACTTAAAATAAATCCTCTTGTACTTGTAGTTGTACTTATACTTGTAGTTGTACTTGTAGTTGTACTTGTATTTGTAGTTGTACTTGTACTTGTAGTTGTAGTTGTACTTGTATTTGTCATTGTACTTGTAGTTGTAGTTGTACTTGTAGTTGTACTTGTAGTTGTATTTGTACTTGAACTTGTACTTGTAGTTGAACTTGTAGTTGTACTTGTACTTGAACTTGTACTTGTAGTTGTACTTGTAGTTGTACTTGTACTTGTAGTTGTTCTCGTACTTGTTGTACTTGAACTTGTACTTGTAGTTGTACTTATATACTTGTAGTTGTACTTGTAGTTGTACTTGTATTTGTAGTTGTACTTGTACTTGTAGTTGTAGTTGTACTTGTATTTGTCATTGTACTTGTAGTTGTAGTTGTACTTGTAGTTGTACTTGTAGTTGTATTTGTACTTGAACTTGTACTTGTAGTTGAACTTGTAGTTGTACTTGTACTTGAACTTGTACTTGTAGTTGTACTTGTACTTGTAGTTGTACTTGTACTTGTAGTTGTTCTCGTACTTGTTGTACTTGAACTTGTACTTGTAGTTGTACTTGAACTTGTACTTGTAGTTGTACTTGTAGATGTACTTGTAGTTGTACTTGAACTTGTACTTGTAGTTGTACTTGTAGTTGTACTTGTACTTGTACTTTTAGTTGTTCTCGTACTTGTTGTTGTACTTGAACTTGTACTTGTAGTTGTACTTGTACTTGTAGTTGTTCTTGTACTTGTAGTTGTACTTGTACTTGTACTTGTACTTATTTTCATTTTTCATACTTTCACCTGACGCGCAATTCATCTGCTGTGTTTGTCATAAGCATAAAACAACGGGTAAGTAACACACAAAGTTCTAGCGGGAACACAAGAAATGACTGTGTTATTTTACCCGAAGTATTTCCTGACCATTGGCCATTTACAGGCTCAATGATCTGTTAATTACATACAGCTGTCGATACGATCCCTAATATTGGGGTGAAATAAATATCTGGATGAAATAATGTGACATGTTGTATACAGTCCATATATTATCGGCAGGTATTGGAAGTTGCAATTTAAACATTTACTATACATGTAAAAAAACAATCCTTGATGAACAGAAAGCTAGTCAATTTTGAAAGTTGAACGTAACGCACACACAAAGGTGAATAAACCTTTAACACTCGGTAATAGATACAGTAACGCACACACAAAGGTGAATAAACCTTTAACATTCGGTAATAGATACAGTAACGCACACACAAGGGTGAATAAACCTTTAACATTCGGTAATAGATACAGTAACGCACACACAAAGGTGAATAAACCTTTAACATTCGGTAATAGATACAGTAAC